GTCCGCTACCCATCGATGAGGGCGAATATAACGAACAAACTTCACTAGAGTCATCCGTGAAAGGAGATTCGGGAATCATGTTGTCAGGCGTGCATGCAGCATGGTTAGAAAAGAGTGGTTCTCTACGACGGAGATGCGGGCACAAAGAAGATCGCTCTTTGAGAATCTCTACCTGCCAAAGCGTTATGAACCCCTACAGTACGGCATCAAGCGGCTTACTCAGGTCGGCTTTAGCTGACTCAAGATTCGCGTAAGCCTATAGAACGGCCAAACCTTTTCTAGTCTTTTCCTTTCCATTTCTTACACCGCAGAAGTTTGGCTTCTTCACCGCGCTGGCGTATAACGCTTCACCGAATGCAAAACACAGCCAGCTGAGCCTTGTACTGGAGGTAGGGGTGGGGGCACCGGGGAGAGCAATCTTTCTTTTTTCCAATGTCCGTACCTACGTCATACCTCTGGGCAGCTGGTGGCAGTTGCGATGGTGCACCCTCCCCGCTGTTTGAAAGGTCAGTGCGGTGACTTTTGCAGGGGATTTTAGCAAGGGATATAAGCTTGAAATACAGGGGGTTTGAAGTCGCTTTTCTACCAGCAGGTTCTGGCCAAAACGTCACGTAGTGGCTTGAGAGTATCGCACCAACCTTTCAAATCCCGGGGGGAGGTGTACGAGGGGCCTGGTTCAGGCCGGTAAAACCCTGCGCTACGAGCTCACTGGGATACGCTTACTACACGCCAGCACAGTTGTCCGGGTAATGACGTAGAAACCGTCGACCTAGCCGTCAAGCTACGAAAATCTACGAAACGTGCTTCTCAGTCGGTCTCAGGTCTAAGTCTTTCTCTATTTAACGTACAAATCTAGGCTTTAGTCAAAGGTTATAGCCGGCGCCTAGTGGAGGACAATGGCGATCGAGAGGCATGTGAACAGGAAGTCGAACACTTCGCGGGCGGAAGCCATGATGCCAGCCGATCGGCGTGCTTCTCGCTATGAAAATCCAGAGACTAGCTAATCTTATGTATAGAGACTAGGTTGCTCGGTTGTAATGGTATTTTTCTGCAACATTTTTGTCAGTGATAACCAGTGTCAACCGGGGTGCGGCTGAGTAGCCTGGGAAGGTCTTGAGGTTATCACTGGCAGCAAGAGCGGAGTAGGCACACTGCTACCATTCGTGAGGGTTGAGTTAATGGGGATTGGTTGGTTGGTGGCGCTGCGCCCCCGTTGTGGTATGTACACCCACGCCTCACAATCGCGCTCCGTGAAAACCAGGGGTGATCGGGGGTCAAAGATAATCGCGACCCAAGTTATAAGCTTGATGACGCCACCCTAAAGCTAAAGAGTTAGGTTCACAAAGTTGCGCCGGAACTTCCTGTAGCCGTATCGAAAGACCCGTTTCCAGGAGTTTAGGGCCAACTGGACGGAGTACTTGTCTGAAAGCATGCCCGAGAATCCTCGTGTTTATCAGTGCCCTGTAGAGATTAACCAAATCTTAATAGAGTAGAGGTACATCTGCCAATAAGGGCACAGCTACAAAGGCTATAATGTCTTAACCTAGAGGTAGAATAGACCCAATCCTGGCATGTCATTTACATTACCGAGTACTTTAGCTTAATATAATCCATTGAATTCCAAGTTGAACTAACTCAAGCCAAACACAGAGCGACGAAATGCAGAAAGATGGGGAAGCTCCAGAGGGACCCTCAACGCGCCCTCACCTTCCGGTAGTACAGGTATCCGTAAATCCCGGCACACGACACAAACAGCGCCACGCCCACGGCGAGATAGACGGTAAAGATCCTCCACGCCGTGTCCCAGGCGTCCTGCGCCGTGCGCAGCATGCCCACGAAGAAGATGACCAGCAGCGTGACGCAGAAGCCGAGGCCGACCCACCACGCGGTCACGCCGCGCAAGAGCTCGAAGGCCCGGCCGCCCCGCCCGCCGAAGCGCCAGCGCTTGCCGTACGAGAAGATGGAGAAGGGTCCGCTGAAGACGCGCGACAGCTTGCCCAGCCCGTTGGACCTGAGCCACAGCGCGAGTTGGATCGCGTACAGAATGCAGATTGTGGATGTGGCAAGCCAGATGAACACGCCGAAGAAGTCGAACAGCAGGTTGGTGCCGAGAATTAGCAAGGGGTTGCTGGTCTGGTCGCTCGGGACGATGGTGTGGGCCACCATGCGGAACGGTGTTTGCATGCCCAGCAGCGTGGCGGAGAGAGATAGCGGCAGGTACAACGAGGCTAGGATGGTGAGGACCTTGATCGCCTTGGCTTCGCGGATGGCATGCTTCTTGGTTAGGTAGTCTAGCTGGCGGTTGAGCGCCTCGAGGGCCCGCTGGGCGTTGCTGCGGCGCTCCGAACACAGGCCCCCGAGTTCCTGCATGCGCCGCTCAAAGTCTTTGTGGGGGACTCTGTCTGTGGCGGCCGTGTTTTTGGCCTTGAGAGCCTCGACCACGAACTCGATCGAGTCCACCAGGTTGTTGACACTCCGGAGGATGCCCTCGGCGTCCTCGATTTCCTTGAAAGCGTCCCTGCTCTTGGCAGACAGCCGAGGCTCAAAGAGGCCCAGCGGGACTTGAAGATGGGGGTTCTTGGCGAGCGAAAACTTGAGGGCTTCCTTCTCGGCCAGCTTGGGGTAGATGAGGTCTCCGTAGTAGTCGACACGCTGCAGGTAGATCGAGGCGAGGAAGAAGTCCAGGATCAAGAGCTTGGCGAACGTGTCGAGCGTCCCGTCCGAGAGCGACGTCCAGCCGGTTCCCGCCAGCATGGCCGAAATGCCCCGGGGATTCTGGAAGATGATGCCGTCATCGCTGGATTTGTTGACGCTGAAATTCTGCTCGGACCAAACATCGTTCACGATAATAACTAAAGGTTGTGAGCAAATGGTCACAGCAACATTTATTGGATAGTCAAACAACACCCACCTATCAACCGGTCATCTGTATCCTGCACACAAGTCAAGTACGAGTCTCTCGGGTGGAGGTCGAGGTCCAACGGGTTCTGCTGCAGGCTCGTGCGGTTGACCAGGCGATAGAAATTCACACTGTCGCCGCCCAGGCTCTGCGACCACTGGGAGGAGATGCTCCCAATGTCGTTCACGAGCAGCGGATCGTTGAGCCACCTGAAGATGCGCCGCTCCTCAAACGGCCGCGTATGCCTCTGCTTCAGAAAACTGATCAAAAAGTCTCGAGCCGGCCGGGTTGTCTCGGGGCCCCTCGTGTCGCGGAGGCCCGTGATGACGAAGTCGGAGTGGATGGTGATGTCCAGAATCCGGGCCGTCCCGCCCGTGTGCGGCGGAAGCGTTTCCATCCCCTTGGCGATGTCGTCGCTCGAGCGGAAAGTTTTGAGCACCTGCGGCGTTGTGCTGCCGCCGAAGTCGGCGTCGATGACTTGGAAGACCACTCGTTCGCCGTTAGAAAGGGACTTGCTCGCCACTTCGAGATCATCTCCCAGAGCCCCGTCCAGGGCTGCGGGGGGAGAGTTCGACATGGTTCCAGGCGGTCAGTTGGCTGAAATGGATGAGAATATGTCAGGGTCGGTGCCAGGCCGGCAGCACCGTGTTGCAATGATAACTGGGAGGGTGGATTATGAACCTCGTGGTAGATGTCGGGAATCCCCAAGTTTTTTTATGTCGAAAACGCCAGGTTCTCCCCTCCCCATGGCACGCACTGCGCATCCTCCCGCGTGGTCCGCATATTACAAAACCTGAATTGGTACCCCATTGCCCAATCCAGAGCCGGAAATTCACTGCTGCCTACAGCCTCGTCTCCGTGTCAAAGTGCACCGTTTGCATCCATGCCAATAAAAGCTCAAAAGAGGGTGGGGATCGCATGCAAGCAGGGATTAAAATAGAAAGCTGAAACTTATCCTGCCATATGCGGGGGGGACTGCATCGGGGCGTACCATTAGCTGCAACGGCGAGGTAATTAGGAGCCAACGTGTTCGTGGAAGCTGCATGCAGCACACCCTCAGGGACGGATTTCGAAATGATCGACGCCTGTCGGTCGACGCAAATTACGTCTCGCTACAACTAAGAATCACAATCGGGAACCATGATGATGCCGAGTTTCTGCGCCTTCCTCCCGCTGGAGCAAGAAACAGATCAACCGAGGATTGTTAATAGGTTCATGTTAGGTACGATATGTTCCTCGAAAATGTCTATTCGGACCGTCGGAAATGTCTGTTCAAACCGCCGTCCATACAAAAGGTACAATGGAAGTACATACATTGAGATCTCCGCCAAGCTACTAATTAGCCCAGCCAAAATCTTGTTTCAGAATCTTGTTTTGCCCGACAAAAAAAGGGGCGGAAGCCGTCCACTTAGCAGCCAAGTTGCGAAAACCCCCCCGAAAACGCGTTTCTCAGTCGGTCTCGTACTTAGGTCGTTGAGCAACTTGTATAGAGCGACTTAGAAGCATAGATTTAGTATAGACGTTCAATTATTATATAAAACACTCGAAAAGAAATAGTACAAAGACGATAGATTAAGGGAGTAAGAGAGGAAGATATGAAAGAAGTATTATATTCGTTGTAGTCAATATAGCTGTAGTTGCACAGACTCGCAGGGAATAAATAGTAGAAAGTCACTACGGCACACATGAGAAGGGAATAATGCATAAAGTAGCAGAGAAGTTAAGCTAAACGTGTGGAATGCATATCTGGATACATAATTATCTAGTTAATTGCTCGGTCACAGTGAATTCGCCTGTGTTGCAAGCACTCAGGTCTTGCTTAAGCAAGCACTGATCTGGTTGGGAAAAGGACGTACAAACAGACTAACTAACTTAAAAAGTCAGCAACATTCTCACCATCACCTCCGCCATAAAGGAGTCTTTGGATAGATTGACCTTGGCTTCTTTTGTCGCCACAATCCCTTCATGCGTGCTCGGGGATGCTTGTGGTTTTAACAGGAAAGGCAGGGGCGCCCTGAAACAAAGAAAAATGCAACATGCTGTGACAGTCCAAGGCAAAATGAAAATGCGTGGGCAACAAGAGCGCCAGCAAAAAGGTAATTCTCCCCGACCGGAATCGAGCCGGTGACCTTTCGGTATACAAACTAACATTTACAGCCGAACGTGATATCCAACTACACCACAGGGAGTTGGTTGCTTGATTGTTGAACTATATGCAAGATAGTTTCGGCTTTGTGTGCATGTTGATGCAGCTTTGCTCCGCCCCTAGCCATACAAACTGTTCGAGACTCCGCCAGCAACTCCGCATCGTGGATACTATGGCTGAATGCTCTCCACTCTACGGGGTATTTATGTGGCCCACTGCATGTTATCTATCTTACGAATGACTTAGATATTACTTGCTTATTGCTCTTTGCACGCTGAGCCCCTTGTAAGAAACGTTTTATTTTGACACCCTTTAGCCATCCGGAGCTAGAAAGCAAAGCCCATATTTCACATCTAACCGTCTAGCTCGGACCTAACCTGTATTTGCTAGCCACTGATTCTTACCGCATGCTCTTTGAGCGCTCTTCCACATTTTCTGCACAGTTTTCCGCCATCTTGTAAGAAATATCTACATGAACGACGTCCAAAGGGAGAAAGAGAGGTGTAATTATCTTAGAACCAGGCAGTGCTTTTGAGCAAAATGCCTTGGGGTACAAGTACCACGTCTGTTTTGGTGGAAGGAAGACGCAGGCAGCGAAATAATGGTCTCCCCAGTCTAAATGTGCAAAATACGGCGCTAGCGTGCTATTGGCACACAGAGTCCGAACTAGGCAACCTAGTGGTGCCTAACGCAGTCAGCCTTGGGCAGCCCCATTTGTCTGTCCTCCCTCAAGAATTGCCATCACACAAGGCGGACCCTGATTTTCTCCCCAACATCGCCGCCACCAGGACCCCGGGATCTCAATTATGGCGACCGCAGAGATTGTCGTCTGCGCGCTCTGCAACAACCCGCCGACGTCGCCATGCCCCGACTGCCAGGAACTGCTCTACTGCTCTGCCGCCTGCCAGGCCAACGATGCGCCGGTGCACAGGCTAGTCTGCGCCGAGTTCTCGGCCCTGTCTCTGAAGAAACAGTCCGAGGAGACAGCAGGCGACGGCGATGACGACGGTGATGACACGGAACAGAACCACGTCCTTGGCGTGCTCTTTCCCGCGGGCGCCCACACCGCCACCGCCACCGCCACCACCACCAGCAGCACCGCCCCGACTCCGCCACCGCCGCCCCCGCCAGCACTCGTCCGCGTCCACATCGGCGGGTTCACGGACCCAGACTCGGGCATCTCGTTCCAGGAAGCCGAGGTCGCGCCCTTCTTTGCCGCTGCCAGCGGCCCGGATGACACGGCCGCCGCCGCAGTCCCAGAACCGCTGCACACGGAGCGCAACCGCGTGCGCAACCGCGACACGCGGAGCATGTTGGAGGTGTGGCACGTCCCGGCGGCATCCGGCAGCAGCAGCCGCCTCGCGCTGGCGAAGAACGCGTGCGTCCCGTCTCTCGGCTCAGCTGGTACAGGCGACGCGGCAGGGACGGCCGAAAGCAACGGGACACAGCTGCAGCAACCCGGGCCCTTCTTCGAGTGGCGCGGCCCCGTGCTGGTGCTGGCCATGACGCGGCCGACCGGGTTCATGGTCGACCCCGGCGCGTACCGCGACTGCGCGCTGCAGGACTATCGTGATGCTGTCGATTTTGTGCTCGACTACGGGAATGACTTGCATGCTAGGCGCACGCAGGAGGTGCTGGCTACGCTAGGCGCTGGCGCGGAGGCGGGTGGTGATGATCACCGTGTTACGGAGGTGGAGGAGGCGGAGGAGCCGGCGGAGGCGGCGAAGACGGTCGTGATCGAGATGCAGGGGTAGGTGTTCAATTAGGAGGCGACGGACGTGCAGAGGGAGACGTGATTGGGACATTTTAGGACGGGCATTGGGGGAGGTGCATCTTCACGGCTGCAAGTCTTGGGATTGTTGAGTTGCGTGGTATAGCAACAGTTCCAAAACTATTTTACAGGAGTTGTCTCGAGATCTAAATCCTTTGAATCACAAGATGACCCGGTTCCAGCACCAAATGAATGGCCGTAAACCCATCACTAATCTTACAGACAGCCCGCTCGCTGCGTCAAAGCGACTCCAGCCAAAGATCCATCACCATCACGACGCGGCCAAAGCTTAATGTCCGAGGTTGGGAGGAATAGGGTGGGTGATGGGGAGGGCGAAGAGCATGGTTGCGATTGAGAGAGAGGGCTCGTTCTTCTGCAAGAGATCTTGTTAGAACCGGGTAACCTTGTTAGAACCGAAGACCGAGCTACGATAGGAATGGGAATATTGCACGTATCAAAAACTGACCGTCACGCAAGGAGCTAGCGAGCTTTTGTCGCCAGCGGCGGTAGCATCTTGCCGCAATGAGTGCTGTGGGCGGCAGTGCGACGAGAAGGGCTATGAGCTCGACGACGGTGTCGGAACCCATTCCGGACATTTGGGAAGAGGAGATGGCGATGCAGGGGAATTACAAGCATTCGATTGGGTGGTGACGAAGTGGGAAAACAATGTTGACAGTCAACAAACACAGCTGCTCAAAAAGAAGATCATTGGCGAGGGTGGACATTATTTATTATTAAAACAACGCGAAAATTTTCAGTGTAGTGTCGGTCGCAAATGATGGATTATGGCTTTGGGGGTGGTAGATATCGGCCTCGAAGGCTTCGAAACTCACTGATAATTAGGTACCGGTATGCATGATGATGGGATTGAGACTGGCGAATGCCCGGAATTGATGGGGTTGGGAGCAGCCAACAGCAAGTGCAGTCCAGACTCGCAACCTCAGGCTCGTTTCAGTCTCGGAATTTTTTGACGGAACTGAAAATGGGGGGTTGATGAGCTACGCAGATGGTTGATGGATTTGACGAGAGCCAATGACACGGCAGTTCACTAGGCTTGATGGCTCTGCTGTCCTCCAATCAAGACCTGCTTGGTCTGGTCGCGTCAGCTTCGTCATTCAGGTTGATGGATATGCAGCGGGCCAATCAAGAGCTTCCTGGTTGCCTGCGCCAGCTTCTTCCCGCTCTAGTTCCCACCCTTCGGGCCTTCCTTCCCAGTCCCGGATCGGACACTCTCTCGCTTCGATCCCTTCGCTTCGGCAGCCTCGACATTCCTTTCCTTCCTCAAAGATTTTACGTTCAAATTTATCGGTTCTCTAGCTTCTACGCTCCTTGCCCCCCTCCAGTCTTGCGCCTTCCATGCAGCTCTCATCGGCTCCTGCACTCCACCCTTCGTCCATTCCACGAGCCCGGAAACCCACAGAGTCAAATTTGGAAGAGCGGTTGCAGCCATGCCAAAGCTCGACTGGGATGCCCACCGCGCCGACATTGAGCGGCTTTATATTGCCGAAGGAAAATGTCTCACCGAGGTAATGGACATTATGAAGAGAGACCGGGGATTCCTTGCAAGGTTAGGCCTGTCTAATAGCTCTCATACCGACGTCTTTAACATAAGCAACTTGTGCAGCAAGCCCTCGTATGAACGGAAAATGAGAGCATGGGGTCTGCAGAAGAACACCATGGGCAAGCAGACTTGGGATGTTGTGGCTTACAAGGTCAACAAGAGAAAGAGACTGGGGAAGGAGAGCACCGTCTACGAAAAGGGCGTCCGGCTCTCTGCGGAGAAATTGCAGAGGGAAATCCCCCGACACACGTCCCTCACACTCGGTAGCAAGTTTACCATCAACACAGGTGATTTGTCCCCTGTTTCTGTCCTAACTAGGGCCCATTTACATGTGCTGACTATAATTCCCCGTAGATTTGCCCTCTCCCAAGACGCCCGAAGGAATTGTCGTACGCAGCCCCAGTCCTCTACAGCAGCATCTGCCGTGGAATTATGAAAGCCCCTGGTCGCGGTTTATCGGGCTTATTTGGTCTTCCGGATTTCAAGGTACCTATCAACCTCATCTGCATTGTTTTTGGTAACCTCAAACTTTGGAATCACTAACATGGGGTTTTACAGGATTGTCTCTAGAAACCAAACTACCCCAAGCCTCCGATATTACATTGCTCAACCAACAATTGTCCGGGTCTTCTATGCATTCGCTTATGAGATCCTCCACCATGATTCAGGTTCCCTCATATCCCATGATCTTCCCGACTCCCCAGCAGATCATGCCCGACGCGATTCAACTACGGCCACTGCCCGAGGTCCCCAGGATCTTTCTGACTCAGTTCTTCCTTCTGTCAAACAACTTCACGGTCATGGAACGTGATGGCGTGTCAGCAAGGGACGTTCGTCTTCATGATGAACATGTGGTTGACATGATAGAACGACTGGGATCGGCCGGGTTGGAGCAGATCAACAGTCTATCATTGACCGAGAGTCATACCACCGAGGCAATAAAGGAGCATTGTTTTGTCAGCATCCTCAGGTCTGGGCGTCTGGACCTTTTGCGAATCATTCTGGAGACTGGCATCGATCTGGACATGGTTATCTACTCAGGAAGTGACGACGCCCTATTGACACCGCTTCAATTTGCCGCAGGCATTGCCGACCGGCGAACGTCTCTAAAGACGACTAGGTTGCTTCTTGAATACGGGGCGAAGCCCCTCCGAGCCCAACCCTGTCCGGGAGAGCAATGTCTCTTGAGCATGGCAACCCGGAAAGGTCACCTCGAAGTAGTCGGTGTGCTCGTGAACGCTGGAGCTTACCCCTGCCAACATGCCACCATCTCCGCTATCGAAAATGGCTTTGATTCGCTCCTCCAGCAGCTTCTGGACGCCGGTGCAGATGTCAACTTCCGGCTCCTCGTGGATACTCAACTGGACTACGGGATGGCTGCTTACAATGTAACACCGATAGGGGTGGCGGCAAAAAAGGGAAATGTGAGAATAGCACGACTCCTGGCGGAAAGGGGGGCCGAGGTGAATGCAACACAGTCTTTGGACTGTACCATATTCTTCTCGGGCGCTAATCGGATTTGCCGCCATCAACGTCACACCCTGAACACAACAGCTCTTGGTCTGGCCATTGGACATGGCAAATTCGAGGTGGCCCAATTTCTCATACACGAAGCTGGTGCAGCTATCAACAGCCCGATGCCAGCAGCTAGGGAAAGATATCCCCGGGAACTGGAGATTGATATATGTCTATTGGTGATTGCATGCTATGC